AGAGCGGGAACCATCGAGCAGCGTTCTCCCCGAGCCGCTCGGCCAACGTCGCACGCTGGGTCTCTCTCCGCTCCCTCAGGCGGCTGCCATCCGGCAGAGCAGAGCCGTTGGCCATTCCCAGGATGGAAGGAAGCCCCTGCAAGTCTGTTATGACAGCTCAATGGGGACTTAACAGGGAGAAGTGCTCACCACGTAAACAGCGCTCAGACAGGGAAGGGCTTGCCACTGCCAAGCCGGCAGACCAACGGTGCCTATCCTGAGCCATCGCCTCCAACGCCGCCAGGATCAGGGCCAGACTCGGCATCGCAGGCAAGCGTGGGACAGGGACCCGTCGCGGTGAGGGGAGCTAGAGAATCACAAGACGAGACGCTTTGCTAATGGACGATCCCATGGCAACTCAATGGGTTTGGCATGCTGGTGGCCACTGCGCTCGCGGCCGGTGCGGTACCAGCACTCGGCTCAGGAGCCTTAACAGTCGCGCAGCGCTGTGGAATTCCTCCGGCAGCTACGGGTCCTATTACGCAGACCACCCTGGCGCCACGGCGGAAACGCTTCAGAGGGGCAGCCGAGTTAGCCTGCAACCGGAAAAACTTAAACAACCAATAGTCCTGGAGCTCCGGTTAGGTTTCCTGCACCTTAGAGCCTCTTGGTGGTGGTTGAAGTTTTGCCACAGTTGAAATGCAGGCAGCTGGACCTGCCCAATGCGAGTACATCGCGGGCAGTTTTCTGGTTCCCACCAAGCTGTCTGCGTGATCTTCATTGGGGGAAATTCTGGATGCCCTTGACAAAGGAATCCCTGCACTGGCTAGGTCACCTGCAACAGCGGCTCCCAACCGCCGGGCCACACACAGCTGGGGGGGGCAGCTCTGGGACTGGGGGGGGAAATACATCACCCAGCACCTCCCCTCCCACTGCGGCTGTTGGGAGAGGAGTGTCCTGACCCACCTCTCAGCCAACCAGAGCCAGGCAGGGGCAGGGCTTCCTCCCGGACACGCCAGAGTGGTGGGAGGGCTGCACGGAGCCTGGCACGGCAGCCTTAGAGCAACCGTCATCTGGGCAGCAGAGCTCAGATGAGTGCTCAAGCTGGTGGCTGGGAGGCGGCAGCGCAGGGCTAGGTAAGGGGGACAGGGCAGGCACTGGGGGGGCTAGTGCTGGGGATCTGAGGGTGAGGGGCTCCAAGAGGCAGGAAGCTGACACTGCGGGGCCCAGGGGGCAAGGCTGGTACTGCAGACAGGGCTAATATTGGGGGTTGGGGCTGGCACTGGGGCTCTGGAAACATGAGGCTGCTACTAGAG